CTTTAAATTCACAAGCAAGTACAACGTGCAAACTATGGATTAGTCCCGGTGGCTCTGTTATTATTATATAGTTCTGGCTTCTGAGCAGTATAATATATGTACACATATGAATATGACCGTGAAATGAAAATTTCTAGGGAGCTTACCAATTCAGGGGACCAAAGCTTTCAAAGTTTCAAGGGTAAACTTGAATGATGATCAAGAAGGAGAAATCACAAAAGAAATCGGGCAAGGAGAACCACCAACATGTTGGAGAATGGTTATGTTGCGACCTTGCAGAAGCGCTAGCAATTCAGACCACTAGGACATTGAAAGATGACAACTTTGGCATAAACCAATACAAGGTCAAGGCGGAAGCTCTTTTGAGCTCCACTTATCCACTCAAAATAGAGTTGCCAGCGCCAGAATCAACTCTGGGTTGGCCTCTTCAGAGACTAACTGTTCCTACGATGAGTCAGGAAGCTCCTCCTCCTGAGAGAGAGCTTTGTGATTTGAAGGGGAGGGACGTTGATGAATCACCATTATCAAGGCCTGGTTGGCCTCTCTTGCGGATAGGAGCTATCTCAGAAGCAGCTATGAGTCCTATCAGAGAAAAAAAGTCTGTGGCTCAGTGGGTGATGGATTTGCCTAGTCGATCATTTTCAGTAAATCAACAGCCACAGGTTGATTTGATTTTGAGGGATGTAGAGTACACAACCGAAAGAGAGAGCCGCCGTTATGATGCCACGAATGGTGATGAAAATTGCTTATCAGTATCATCAAGAAAGCTAGCCAGTGAATTGGAGTTTCTCATTGAAAAAAACTCAGTAGGTTGCAGGTTGTTCAGCTATGAAGAAATTAGGAGTGCAACTTGTCAGTTCTCAACAGGTCAACTAAATCTCTTTTTTGTTTGCATAATTGATGCGATCTGCCTTTGGCGTAGTTCTCTTTCTAAACAATTGGCTTATACATACTATAACACAGGAAATCTTATCGGCGAGGGAGGGTGCAGCAGCGTATACAGAGCATGTCTCGGAGATGGTAAACCAGTGGCAGTCAAGATTCTGAAATCATACAAAGAAGCTTGGGATGACTTTTTCTTGGAAGCCAAATTTGTTTCTTCAATTCAGCATAAACACATCACATCTCTCATTGGTGTCTGTGCGGAAGGTGGCAACCTTATTTTGGTCTATGATCTCTTTCCTAGAGGGAGCTTGGAGGGAAACTTGCATGGTAATTTCCTACAAATAAAGAAATTAAATAGTTTGATAATTAGTTGCCTGAATTTCATTTCATTTAGTGCAGGTTGCAGTGATGGATCTATAGTACTGCCATGGGAAGTGAGATTCAATGTGGCAGTTGCAGTTGCCGAGGCTCTAAATTACCTGCACAATGAATGTCCTCCGCCCATTATTCACAGAGACGTTAAATCCTCAAACATTCTTCTCTCCGACGAGCTTCTGCCACAGGTATATACATATACATATACACATACAGCACCCCAGCCGATGGGAAAATATCTGCCACATATTCCAATTGTAGACTTTCCGTGTTGAATCTAGTTTTATGTTTTGGGTGCAGTTATCTGATTTTGGGCTTGCTATGCGGGGATCTACGGATTCTGCTTATGTGATAAGTAGTGATGTGGTGGGGACTTTTGGATACATTGCTCCAGAATATTTCATGCATGGGATGGTGAGTGATAAGATTGATGTTTATGCCTTTGGTGTGGTTCTCCTTGAATTATTATCAGGAAGAAAGCCAGTTGATGCAGGGGCCCCAAAAGGGCAAGAGAGCTTGGTTAAGTGGGTAAGCATTCTCTCTTTACATCATACTTACCCCTAAAATTGTTTACCAAATTCTGATTTTGACCACTTTTCTTTGATTCAGGCAAGACATTTATTGGACACTATGGAACTCAAAGCATTGCTGGATCCAAACCTAAACGGGGACTACAATGATATCCAAATGCGTAGAATGGTATTGGCAGCAGGCCTTTGCATAAACCAATCACCTCGTCTTCGCCCGAAAGTGGGCCAGATACTGCAGCTACTAACAGGGGAGACGGATGCCGATAAATATTCTGATTCTCATGTTATGGAATCAAGGGAAGACGATGACGATGACCTTTTCCTGGAAATTGATTGCAAGTCGCATTCGGTTTCTGCCATGTCTGATACAAATGATGGTAGCAGATCATCAAGTTCCACCGATACAGCATCGAGTGTTGAGAAAACCCGCCGCTATAAGTTGAAAGACTACTTAACTATACCTGACCATTATTCTTTGAGAGAAATTTTTTTGCTTTCCTGACAAAGCAACATGCTTACTCCGCTGATATTTTGAGGCCATTGTATATAATAATGAACCCAACACAGAACTACGGGTGTGCATTTTATCATCTTTGCCAGCAGAACAAAGCTACGATGCTGAATTGGTTCAACATTTTTTTCCCAAACGCTGGATGGTTCGACAATGACCAGTACATTTTAACTAAAAGCAAATTCCCACATAGAATCGAACAAGACCAATAGCATTTGCAAGAATAATTGGAAAAATCAATTAATGAACAAATGCATAAAGTATGGTTGATGCTCATTACAACTGTACAGTATAAGCCGCTAGTGGTCCAAAAAGAAATGGACGAGAAACTAGAATGGAACCGTGAAGGGTAATGCATATACGCCCGCCTCCAACAACCACTGCGCTTGTGGCCACAGCGCGCTCCTTGTACAACTGGAGACCTCATTGTTAGAAGCTTTAAATCTTTTGGACCCACACCTGTTTTGATGCTTGGTCCCAAAGAGCCATTCTTCATCACCATCACCAACATCGGCAAATTGATCCGGCGGAGGGATCCAATTCTCAATCAGAGTTGCATGCAGTGAATCTTCACTCTGAATCTGATTTTCAAATGCAGCACTCGCACTTCTCTTCTGACCAATCGTTTCCATCCCCTCTGATGTTGAACAGGGTAAATCTTGGTCAGGTTTTGAAGAGACCCGCCCTAGTTGTGCATTTGTCTCTGCTCTGGGTTGACTCTGTGCAAGATCAACTTCCGTTCTCTCTGGAGGAAGCAAATCTACCCTTCCAGAAGGAGAGCACGCAAGTGAGGCATCTGGTTCGCTGTGCTTAAGTTTAAAGCGAACGATCAAAGGCTTGCTTTTCTTGCTGCTTTGGGTTCCATCAGACAAGTAGGAATTGTTCTCAGTACAGGTTGGCAGCCCATGTTCGTTCGTAATGTCACTTCTCTCCAGTTGATCAACTTCATGTTCAATTTTTTGAGGAGACCATCCCTTTGCTTCCCCTTTTTTACCCTTCTTTTGCTGGAAACACTTTTTGTCATCAAGGCTTTTCACGTTGTGAAGAGTATCCTTCTCTTTACGCCCTTGTCCCTTTATTTCCCTTCTCTCTTTCTTCCTCTGACTCTTGCCATTTTTCTCCATCTCTCTCTGGAGCTTTTGAAGCACCAGAATAAATTCAATAAGATTGGTAGAGCAGACCAGTAAAACATGACTAAAGCACAGAAGTAGAGAAACTGCTGACGTTACACGGACTCATTACTAGGAGGAATTGGGACACAGAAAATAAGATCAAAGAAACAACCAACATTTGATCCATTACCAAATTTTAGGTTAGTACAGTGTTACTTGACAGTGCGAGATACTTAACCAGATGACGACTAAGTGGTAAGCCACTCACTTACAAATTACAACAGCCAAGTCCTGAACTTTCGGAGTCCGAAAGAAATTGGTAAAACATACACCTGTAAACTACTTAGATAAATTAAAATTCACACCAACCTGATGGCACCACAGTTAACCCCACAAATTCAGCTTCTAATTAAGATAGAAACGGTGATAACCCATTACAAGGTCCATAACCTAATTCTCGTTTCTTGTCAATGAAAACCACAATTCTAAATCAGCTTACGAGTTCTTGACCCTTCCAAGATCAAACTTCACCCCAACTACACTCAACGATGGACATATAATGTAGTTTCGGGTTGTGATATTAATCTGGTAAAAAATTAAAACACCCTATTCCATTTGTAATTATGTAACATACATGTTCAAACGTACAAATTTTTTTCAGAAAAAACACAAAGTTCTTTTGTCAGTACATGGCAAAAAGAAACTCACGATCTATCTCAATCACCAAAAAACCAAAAAGGGAGTCACCATATATTAATATACACGAAGAAAAACTCAAAATTTGTTCAAGATTTGCCCCAAAAAAACTTAGAATTACCTACAATTTTTCCCTCGAAAAACTCAGATTTGTCTATATTTTCCAAGAACAAATCGGGATATATCACGAAAAATAATTTCAAATTAGTTTCTACAGGAAACTCATCGACCCCCTCCCTACATGATAAGCAAGAATCATAAAAATAGGCCATTCTTGAATACCCACAAGACCCACCGTTTTAAAAAAAACTGACAGACAATGCTAGAATACAAGGTCAGGCATATATTATAGTGACTACATGTCGCAGAAAGAGAAAGGGGGAGAGGCCCAGAAAAAAGCACAACCAAATTGCTCAACAAACCTTAGTCGGTTCGAGCAAGGCCTCTCTACTCACTGCGTTCCTCGCATAATCGCTAAAGGTGTACTTCAAGGCGCGAGCCATCTTTCAATTAACAAAAAATTAAATTCCCCACAACCTAATCGCTTAACTAGATCGGAACTTTCGCAAAACCCTAGCACAGAGTTTTTCGGTTCTCTAGCTTGGAGGTTTTTTGACGGCAATAGATCCTCGAGGACAAATGTAATAACAGCGTGGCTTTATATAGACCGGCATATTTTTTATACCAATAATGCCCTCGACCTAATTCAATTTTTCTTTGAACTCTATTTCTTTTGGGCTCATTTTATTGGATGGGCTTTTACGGAAACATGGGTTCCTAGTCCTACACGGACCAGGAGAAGGGCCACACGGTCTTTTTAACGCGTTTTGTCACCATCCAAGTGGGCTGTAAAAATTCTTCAAAAACCCTGATTTTTTTTTTTGGTCGAAAATCAAAAACCCTGGTTAAACCCGAGAGCTCGTCCCATTTTCATTTCAACAAAATCCAAAAGTTGAAGACTTGCGACGAGCGATATAGCAATAGCACTGTGATCCGCTTCGGTCACCATGAGAAGGGTTAATGGAGTCGCTTTGCTCAGTAGAGCCGTCGTCTGTATGGGTAGCTCTACCGCAGTCGGCGGCGCAACTCAACAGCGGCTGGTTCAAGCTGCGATGTTGAGCACTTGCTCGAATTCGAATCCGCTGTGGTTCACGCGAAGACTCGGCGATCACTTCGGCCTATCGAAACCCTCTGTGGCCTGCATTGCAGGAGGGCACGTGTGCTTCTCTTCGAACGCCACGTCTCTGGCTCAAGAGATGCATGCCCAGGACAAGTTCCTTCCCAAGGACGTCCAGCTCTACCAGTACGAAGCTTGCCCTTTCTGCAACAAGGTTAGAGGTAAGTTATGCACCACTTTCTCATATCTTGAGTTCAATCGGAGATGAAATTTTCCAACTTTCATAGAGAATTGATCTTATTTTCCAAATTTTCCAACTTATCTCGAGTTCAATCGGAGATGAAATTTTCCTATTTTGGTTACTGTGATTATTTTTGTATGAATTGGAAATTCGCATTCTTGGTCTTCATAGAGAATTGATCTTATTTTGAAAACAGAAGGAGTTACTCTAGGGTTCACTTTCAATTTATTTTGCCGGGTTTTATGCCCTTGATTCTTTTCGCCACTGAACTTCTTCTGCCTCTCAGCATTCTTGGATTACTATAAAATTCCATACAAAGTTATGGAGGTTAACCCCATCAGCAAAAAGGAGATTAAATGGTCTGATTACAAGAAGGTGCCGATACTGAAAGTTGATGGTGAACAGATGGTTGATTCTTCAGGTAATTGGATTATTTGGGGCCATAATTAACAAGATTGTATCTGCTTCTTTCTTCTTGATGCTGTGGTAATTAATTATATCCAACTCGGGATTGAGTGCTTTGTATTTTGTTAAATTTCCATTTTTGTATTTGCAGATATAATCGATAAGCTGTTCCAGAGGATCAATCCTGAGAACAATGTCATAAATGGTGAAGAAGAAAAGAAGTGGCGTGGGTAAGTTTTTGCTTTCACTATTCAACGTTGTAAACCTTCAGTCCTGATCTTCGGTACTACAAGAGATTTCTTTTGCGTGATTAGATTTCCTGTTGAATTGTTTGATGCATGTGTTCACATTTTTTGATACTTTTACTTCTTAGGTGTTGTGATCATGGGTTTGGCATGATAATAACCGATTAGGTGTGATGTAGGTGGGTGGATAATCACTTGGTGCATGTTTTATCACCAAACATATATCGAACTGCTTCCGAGGCTCTCGAGTCATTTGACTATATCACCAGTCATGGTATGATACCACATCACATCAATAGCGAATCCATTTCACTTTTATTTCTTACGTAATTTCATGTGACAAACTAGTAATCCATATCGGCAGTTAGTTATGAGCACACTTCACAAAAGATGTGTGTTTGGGAATGCTTTGGCTCGAGTTGCATAAGTTCATTGGTGTGAATTTGTACGTGTGTACTGTTTAGTATTGATGTCGTCAATCACAGTGGGAAGATTGAGAAATATATAATAGCACATCCGTATCTATATAATGTATATATTTAAAGGCTTCTATTTAAGAATCAAGTTACTTTTGTATAAAGTAATTTATCAACAAGAGTACATGTCTGTGGAACCTCTAATTCTCATCTGTGAGTAACAGGTAATTTCTTAAACCTACAGCAACAAGTGCTACTCACTTAGATTCCCTTCTTACTAGAACTTAGTTAAGTTCCAAACATCCAAATTTGTTTCATTTTGCATTGCTATTTTCATTAAAAAGAAAATTATCTCCTATGCTCTGTTGCGGGGCCAATGGATGTGCTGAAACCCAGTATACCATTCTGATTTTAAGCAGTCCAAGGATTCCTTGTATCCTGAATTTAAGTTGGCGTTTAATATGCAAATGATCCAAATTCTCTTGAAATGGACCTCTTACCTGCAGGAAATTTCAGTTTATATGAAAGGATAGTAGCAAAGTATACTGGAGCTGCAGCTATGTATTTTGTGTCTAAGAAACTGAAGAAGAAACACAATATCACCGATGAACGTGCAGCCTTGTATGAAGCCGCAGAAACCTGGGTGGATGCTCTTAAAGGGAGACAATTTCTTGGTATGCTCATCTAACATATCATATTTTATCAACCTAAGACTTATTTATTGATTAAAACTTTCAATTGATCGGATAATCTTGTGTTTTAACAGGTGGGTCAAATCCTAATTTAGCCGATCTTGCTGCATTTGGTGTTTTGAGGCCCATTCGGCACCTTAAATCTGGCAAAGATATGGTGGAGAACACACGGATTGGTGAATGGTACACTCGAATGGAAAGTTCAGTGGGAGAGTCTGCTAGAATCGAGGCCTAAAGGTGGAACATGTTAGTTGTTTCAGATTTTCAATCTGCTTCAGCCATTGGTTCTGCCAGTGGATGGGGTAGGCATCACTAATAAATGATACATCATTTGAACATCATTGAAGATGATTCAAACTTTACAAGAAGGTGTTTTAGGAGATGAGGTGTTATGGTTGATCTTTCTTATATGTTTCTCCCATTTATATGTAGCAGCGCTTTTCAGTGGTTTGAACTCTGTGATGCTAGAGAGCAAACTAGAACACTCTTGTGTATATCATACATGCAGAGATGTTGGCAGGTGGTGTTTGCAAGTTCTATTTGACAATGTCATGAGATCATTATATCTGACATGGTTGGGCCAGATATGAGATATCCTACACCTGACTGAATCTGTCGAATAAAGTCGCAACTTTTCTGTTCGGCCGGGTCGGCCGAATATAATTGCCAATTTGCCATAGGATCATAAGCGACGGACTCTATAAAAGTCAAAGCACTGGTCCAAACTTGGTTGTTCCAACTATCAAGCTCATCAATCTTTTTACGATAAAATCAAAACTCGATTAAATATTTTGTTTGGCACGTGACGTAGGTTTATTATGTAAAGTGTGAGCGGCTTTGTTTTGTCCTCTCTTTTTTTCCATCGCCGACTCGCTATTCACTGCACCGTTGATAGCAAGGCTTGTAGGTTATTAATTCAAGGCTTGATTATTGATTTGACTTTTGAAACTCAATTTTTAGTATCACTTTACTTTATTAAACTCAATTTGTCTCACTTTATATGTTAAAATGTTAATTTCGTGTCTCACTCTGTCTTAATTGAAATTGAATTTTATATATTATATGTTAAAATGTTAATTTCGTGTCTCATTCTGTCTCAATTGAATTGAGTTACACATATTATAAAGGGATTATAATAAAATAAATTGAGATTTAACACAACATGTTGTACGTTGTAATTTGTAAAAAGAGAAAGAAACTGTGATAAATTGATTGAAGAGAATTATAAAAATAGGAAATAGAAATGCTATTCTTCAGCCTTTCCCAATGACCAAACTGACAATTTCTTCAATCTCACTGATTCCCTCCTCTAATATAACGTCTGACCCTTTCACGTCTCAATTGAGTGAATTTCTCTTTCACCAACACATCTCTATCTTGCTTTCTTTATGAAATCTCTGACCCGATAATTCTGTGACCCTTCTGTCACATAATCTGCATGTGTACGTCGTCGTTTCCCGCCACCCCTTGTATCTCTCTCTCTCTCTCTCTCTCTCATTAATTTAATGCTATTGGTTTTGAAGCCTTTTGGGATTTCGGGAAAAAGAGAGAAAGACTCCCAAGCTCTACTTTCTTTTCTTCTCTCCATCGACCCATTAATTTTCCTTTTTAAGTTCCTTAATTAGGTCAATACCCCATCAAATCAAAACTATCCCTGAATAAATAAATTAATTAAAAACTCGCATTTATTCATCCTAATAAATATATTAAGAAGATTTGTCCGTTTTCCCTCTGTGTATATAAACCACCCACGGGTTTCTTTCTTTCATAATGGTCTCTTTCAGTTAAACCAGAAACCAAAGCAACAACAAACAAGGCAAAGGTTATGCCAATAAAGAGAGGGTGGATAGAGAGAGTTTAGAGAGAGAGAAAGAAAGGGTCATGCGTCTTTTCTGATATAACAATAACATGAACCCTCTAGCTTTAAACCTACCCCATTTCGTTTCAGTTTTGGTTTCGTATTAATAGTCCACGAAATATGTGAAGGAAATTAAGGGGGACCTTTTGGCCGTCTGCTCTTGTTCATTTCACCAACTGGTCGAGAAAATATGGCAGTTCAGGCACCGCAGTTGTATTGTTCTGAAAACTTGGGCTTACCCACCACAACCATGACCACCATGTCTACTGGCCTTCAACAAGATTGGTCGATGCAGCTCAACCCTGTTTCTGGCCTTGACGACATTTTTTCCAGCTTTCCGAGCCCTCAGCCTCTTCATGATCATTTTTATCTTCGTCAAGCCCCTCAAAGTCAGAATACAATAAACCTTGATTGTTGTAACCAATTAGGAGTTTCAGTTTCCCCTTCCACTTTTAATTGCTTTCTACCAGCACCGTTTTCTGAAGCTTTGGGTGCTCAGCTTGACTTACAAAGGCACGAGCTTGACTGCATCCTTCAATTGCAGGTAAATAATTCACAGCATTGTCATGTAGGACTATTGGAGATTGATTTGATTTGTATATTTTTTTAAGGGTTCCTTCTTGTTTGTCCTTTTATTTTTCATGGTTTTGGTTGCATTTGCATCATCCTTTCAAATAAAGAAAAAAGAAAAAAAAATTGAAACTTTTTAAATGTTTTTTTTTTCTTTCTTAAAAACAGAATGAGAAGCTAAGGTTTGCTTTGCAAGAGCAGAGGAAGCAACAACTGGCAGCCCTCTTGAGGAACTTAGAATCTAGAACCTTGAGTTTGATTAGGCAAAAAGAAGAGCACTTAGCACAAGCGACAAAGAGGGCCATAGAGCTCCAAGATTGCTTGAGGAAAGCAGAGTTGGAAAGCGAGACATGGCAGAGGATGGCCAAAGCAAACGAGACCATGGTCATAGACCTCAACAACACGCTTGAACAGGTCAGAGAGAGACTGGTTTTTGTCAGTAACGAAGCTGAAGACGCAGAGTCCTGCTGTGGCTCGTGTGACAGAGGAGGACACAGAGACAACGACAGGGTAGTAATGCTGCAAGAAAATCGAGTGGTTGAAGAAAAAGGGAAAAAGTTGGCTTGCAAAAACTGTAACACTAGGAGGTCGTGCGTTCTTTTTCTACCTTGCAGACACCTCTGTTCGTGTAAGTCCTGTGAACCCTTTCTTGGTTCTTGCCCGGTTTGTGAATCTACCAAGGAGGCAAGCATGGAGGTCTTTTTGGTCTAACAAGAAAAGCACCAAAAAAAAGGAGCCAAAACCGAAAAAAAGAAGGCATCAATCTTTTGCTTGTTTATTTTGAGGAAAAGTACACATGTTGATACCTTACCTGTACTGTCATGAATCATGATTATGTGCTTAGCTTTTTCCATCTTGGGGTCTATGTGATCCGAATTCTTTTGTACTACGAGGTCCATCCGTATCTGAATCAAAATGGTGATGATGATGATGTTGTAAAACGGTAAAAGAATCTTGCCTTTAATTTCCTCTTCTGGCCTTGTGAGTTTTACTGTACTATAATATTATATTTTATATGTACGTATCCCCTGAGTTTGGTTAAAATCTGTGAGGTTTGATGCAGCGTGCAACCCTTTATTGTCACAAGAAGTCCAGCTGTTTAAATTTAGCCGTAACAGTGTACGGTTCTAAACCTCTAACTGACAAAAGGAAAATAAGAAATTGAAAGAAGATTTTGGCGTTTAGCATTAAGATTACAAGGAAGGACTGCAACTGCCACCGCCACTACTTATGATAATCTTTTCTTCGCTGCTTTCAATGAAATGGGTAGCCATTAGAAAATGACACGAGCGTGTGAAAAGTAGTAAAAGCAGAAACTTGCAAATGCAGCAGCAGCAGCAGCAGCTGGTTCAAAACGAGGCCATTTTCATCTCAGACAAAGAGCTTTGAATGGCTTTTTAACGTAGAAACTTTTTTTTTTTTTTTTTTTTGGTCAATTAACGTAGAAACTTTACAGAGGGTAGAGATAGAGACAGAGACAGAGAATGGGATGGTGATGGAGCTAATGGTTATTTTGTGCGTCCCATCTTTTGCTTAAAATGTCAGTCTTTGATATCCGCAAAGCGTAAAACTGCTTTTAATTTAATTTCTTGAGCCAGGCCATCCTCCCTTGAGTTGTGGTTTCTAAAAAGAGAGAAAGTGGGGTCCCTGTTGGAGTTTTCCTTGTAGTTTGTTGTGGATCCCACAACTTGGTCGATGTGAGTTGAATAAAATATATAAAAGAATAGAGGGCCCTGCAATGCGTATCAAAGCAAACCGTTTCCATAATAAGGTAGAGGCGTAGTGGTGTTTTTCGAGAATGGAGATCTTCTGCATTGAAAACCGAAACTGCTGATTTTTCCTTTTCTTTCTTTCAATCTCAGTAATGAACACAGAAGACAGAAGATGGACACCACTCAGTCACTCATCTGGTCGTCCTTCGTTTCTAGTTTCCTCCTATTTGAACTGGTCTCTCTTCTATCGTCATTAAATTAAATTGACCACTGTTCTTTTTGGATGATGGATTACATGGACGGCTGAGATGTTCACTTCATACATGGAATCCCACTATATGTTTGATGTTTGATCCTCAGGGAGTTTTTCGCTTTTGTCTTTAGGGGAACATTGGACTAATTGGAGCTTTTGTTAAAACAAAACAAAAATTATTTGGAGCTTTTGTTAGATATATGGTTCATTTGAAAGTAATTTTGGATAGGCTAAAAATCACTTATATAAAGAATCACTTCTTTATATAATCACTTTAAGTGCCCATTTTGGGATGATAAGTGATTTTAACAAAATTTGAGAAGCCTATTTTTGTTTGGTAAACCATGAGAAAATAACTTATTGTTAAAAATTGTTGTAAAATAAAGGTATAAGGGAAAGTAGGTGTAAATATGCTTTCATTTTATGATTATGCGGCAATCAATTTGGAGGGGCGCTAGAGTTTAAGGAAAATTTAAGAATTCCAAAAATAAACCCATATGTTTTCACGTTCGCGTCTTTTTCTCCTTGTTCTTCTACTTCCCATCATTCATCTTCACACCTTATCTTCCATGTTCCTCAGTCTAGAGCTATTCTTCTCATTATTTTCCTTCAATTTTTCTTGTTGGATTGTTGAAGCACTCTTTTGAAGCCACAAGAATCAAATAAGAGACATGTTAGGTTAATTTTTATTGTCAATTTCATTCTTCTCAATTAAGGTTAGAGAAGCTTATCATGGATTTGGGTCATCGTACAACTCAAACTAATCCTAACCCATGAAAGTAATTTTAAGAGCTTCAATTCCATTTTGATTTCTACATTGTTAATGAATTCTAGCCTTTTGATTTAGTTCATGAAGTGGCTATTGTTGATATACAAAACATTGTAGAACCAAAACAATAAACAAACAAACAAGAAGAAAATAGCAAAACGCAGAGAGATGAAAACATATTTAATAATATATATATAGGGGCGGATTCGAGGCACTACGTTTTTTACTCAAGTTTTGACACAATTTTTGGGCCATTAGATAACTCAACTTTCAATGGATGAGATTAGATCTAACATGGATTTTTGACATAAAAAATAAATTAAAATGTTTTTTCTCTCTCTTCTCTCTATTTTCTCGGGTTGGTAAATTTCATTCACCAAAATATTTTTCTCTCTCATCTTTCTCTTCCCCATCATGTTCTCTGCTCACTCTTTCTTAGACCTGGCATTCGTGTCGTTTTTTCAGTGTTCGTGTCGTTTTCTTGTCAACCCATTTTTCTTAAAGGGTTGACACGACACAACAAGAAAACTGGTTGAAAATATCAAACACGAACACGACCCGTTACAATTCGTGAATCACACGACACGACACGATAATCTGTTAAGAATTTTTTTAAAATTTATAAAAAAAACAACACAATCCATAGACGAGCTCGAATGTGAGATTGGAGATGCCCTGTGAGTGGCCCTCAAAGGTTTGGGCAACGGAGATGGTGTGAGTGGAGCAAGAAAAGTCATCGGAGAATGTGAGGGAATAGGTGAGATCAATCGGTGAGGGAAGGAGACCGAAGGGGGAGGTGGCTGGGATGGCTCATGGTGGTTGGGTGGTGTGGTGACTGCTTAAGACTCTCAAGTTGAGAGAAGAAGAAAGCTCAAAGGTTGCTAAGTTTTGAAGAGAGAGAGAGAGAGAGAGAGAGAGAGAGATTAAGTAGTGAGAGAATCGGGGGAATGGAGGAGGAAGAGACAAAAGAAAAGAAAGATAAGAAGAAAATAATAATAATAAAGAGATAAATTTACAAAAATGTCTCTGAGCTTAACGGGTTAACGAGTATTCGCGAATTGACACGACACGACACAATAGCTTAACGGGTGGCTAACAAGTCAACACGATATCAACACGACACGATTACTCACACCTGAATACTGAATTTTTAGTGCGAATTCGTATCGTGTTAACAGGTTGTGTACAATATTGCCACCCATACTCTTTCTTTTATCAGACCCAACAAAAAAAACCTTATTGATCTTTCTCTCTTTCTTTCGTTCTTTTTAACTAAGAAAAGAGGTACCTCAATAGAAATGAAGTTATTCATATCAATGGGTTTCAAATTGTTGTTAATGTTTCTAAATCTTTGGGTTTAGGATTTATGGATTTTGATCTTCGCTTTCAACTTTGAACCAAGCTATTAAAAGTCTTAACACATAATATCGCCCTGGTCTTGTAAAAAGAAACTTGTAAATTGAAGCTATGCAAATCAATTTTACCACCATTTCTCAAGTCTTACAGATAGTAGCAGTAAGGAAGTTTCTGCGAATTTAAAATATTATTTGGGTATCATTCTTCTTCACCATGATATCCAAGCTTGTTGAAAGGCAATCTAACTTGGCATTTTTTTAAAAAGACGAAAAGATAAAATAAAATATGAACTTTTCACATAATATGTAGGATTTCATTAGAGCATCAAACCACGAGGGTTTGAGCAACTGAAGCAAAAAAATTGAAGAGATAAACAAAAGAAATTGTGAAACCCCATACTTTTAAATACATATATTAATATTTCATAAAATTATGTATTTACAATTATTAATCTTCAAAATTATATAATTAATAATATATCTATATATAAATATAAATTGTATGGCAAGTTACGTTAAGTTAGCTATTAACTAGTATAGCCTATCAAATATTATTGCATGGCTTTAATTATTTCAATTCATTTCAGCATTATTTATTATTATTATGATATATATATATATATATACTTACTTTACAAAAACTGTTAGAAAGATATTTATGCTTACTAAGCATTGTTGAAGACTGACGTGTTGCAATGTAGTGTCCTCAAAACCAATTAAAGCATGAGGTGTAAGAATGATGGTTATTCCTATATATATGAACTTGATAGGAGAGTGCTCACTAAGCACTCTACAAAGCCAACACAAAAGGCTATTTGAGAGTCTAGGAACCTATAGACTAATTAGGTGGCACAACATTAAGCTTCATCTAACCGACTCTAGCTTACTATAAATAGGTCTACTCAATAGTTCTTTGATCATAGGTACTTCAAGCATGTTAGTCTCCTAAAAATCATAGACAGAAGAAAGAAAGAGTGAAGTGTGGTGAGATTTTGGAGAAGTTCAAAGTGTTTGGACTTACAATTGGGAGTTATACAATAGCTTTGGATTTGAGGTAAGAGTTTTTCTTGGGGAGGTTTTGTTTTGCATACATTGAGTTAATTAAATATTGTAAATACTACATTAGGCTTGATAATATTTGATTGTTGTTATGCTTGGTTATATAATTTGATTGTTATCCTTGATATTAGATGTATACATGTTGTCAATTATCATTATAATTTGATAAATTTTGACATATTCATATGTTGTCGGTGGTGGTTAAAATTTTTGGGTTGATAAAGAAATTATGGAAAAGAGGATAATGGGAAGTATCTTTTGTGTAGTTGAGTCTAACCATTGTAGGGACCAAGTTCAGGCGAGCCCGTGCGCACAATAGATTAAGAAATCGGCGGTATAATTTTCGATTGGGATTTGGGCTTGGAGATCAATGGTGTAGACAAGATGACTAGCAAAAGGAGAATTATGGGATGATTGAAATGAGTGTTAGTTTATATAATGGGGCATTCGGAATCACAGTGGTAAAAGGCATGGTATGGGACATGCAGATTTGCTTGTCCTATTATATAGATTAACGGGTTGGGTAGAATTGAAGTTCATTCATGGATTGTATAAATTGTACATTATAAATCTCACTAATCACATAAGACATAGGACCCATACTGAGCATGTAATGCTCACCCCTTATTAAATCTATTGCAGGCTTTGAAACTGAAGTGTAGTTTTTGCTGAGGAAACAAGAAGAACGGATTATGGATAGTTTTGAGTGTTTTGTTGAAAGTTTGTTACTTTTTTGTTATTTTGCTTGTAATAATACAATGTAAATTACTTTGACTTAAATGGAAGTTTACATTCAATCTTCATGTTTCTTGATAATTAAAT